CAAGTTTTTTACTTGCTCTAGCTTCTTGCAAGTACTGTTTTTGAAGAGAAAAAAAAACTTTCTATTGCATTGTGGGATTAACGAAACCGAAGGCGGAAAACAAGAATTGAATTTAATTACTCATACATCTTGTGTGACAGGCTCTTACGTGTTACCATTAGACTGTAAGCCTCGATAGTAACTTCTTTAAAATGAGTTGTTTGATGATTTATGTTTTCCTCCAAAGGGCCATTTTGCATTTAGCATTCTTTGATGAGAATGCACTTTGTGGGCAGTATTTTCCAAATGTTTATGTTCCTTCAAAATCGTTTTATACTTGAAAGCTCAACAAACTCAAAATTTGTAATCACATTCTCCATCGACTCGATTAAAGTTTTTTTCTTTGGAAATCGTGTTACGTCTAACTGCATATTTACAATATAGACGTGGTGATCAATTGGATCTTTGTTTATAATTTACATCTCTTTGTGAGAGAGAAGGAAGCATGTATTGCTTGCTATGTTAAGGGTTTCATCAAAATTCATAAAACATAAGAAAATCACCAAACTGCATGTCTGAAAATCCGTTTCCAAGGCTTCCTTCTTTTCGATTTTTCTTTTGATGAGGGTTTGTTAGAGTTGTTACAACATGATAAAAGCATTTCTCGTGTGTAGCTAATACTGTAACGGATGAAGGAAGAAAAGAGAAGCAAGTAATTGCTTGTAATGTTCAAAGTTGTCCTATAATTAATAGTTTTATGAGATAAAGAAAAAGTTTACATTAAAGGTGTTAGGCTTCCTACTAAGTAAGCTTGCCTACACTTGTGTTTTCTTTTATAAAAGTGGAATGACGTTTGGCTTTTAGCTTTAGATTGGCTTAACAGTTACAATTAGTAGAATTCTCAATAGTGTTTAAGTTATATACACCGAGAGCTTCAAATATCATCAGATCATTTTTACATGTTGTTGGCGTATATGTAATCTATCTTATTTTCAAGACTACAAATATCATATCTTAAGAAGATTTATCTAAAGATATAGTTTGATTAATACTTGATAGTGTAGATAATTTTTTACATTGACGGTGTGTATAAGTTAAACTCTTTTCCATAAGTTCTTAGCTGCTATTAATGTTAAACAAAGTACTTCAAACACAGAGAAACCAGGAAAACAACAAAAGAAAAAGAGCAATATATAGACTTCCATTATACGATTTTTGTCAACTTAATTAGGAATCAAGGTGTGATATCCAACTCAACTTCATTATATATAAGAAATCAAGGTAATCTTCTTTGCTTCCACTCATTAACCAAAGGGTTTTCATCTTTTTGGACAGTATGCAATCATCTATGTCACTACTGATTTACCATTCAATCCTCGTCAAAAATCCAATCATGTTGTCCTTAACGTACACTAAATAATCTTTCGATTTAGGATTTAAGTTATATGTGTGACAATGTAAAGAATTATTACATCCTATAACATGCTACCTATTATTTATTACATATTACCAATTAATGATTACTAAATAGTGATAAAACATAGTAGTAAATAATTTGTATACCATTGATCAACGAATGCATAGACTTAAACCAACTTTTTGTTTCCTTTTCAATTCATGACCTTAAGTTATAATACATAGACACCGATAATATAAAGAATTTATATGCTCTCAATGTGATTTAACTGGTTATAGCAGACCAAGTTAAAAAATATGATAGTGTAAAAATTCTTTTCAGGTACTCATCATTGTACAAAATATAAACTATTTTCGACTTTGCAGGATAATGAGAAGAAAAACATCTTAGGAGTTCAAACACTTCGAAACACAATTATGGGAGCAACCTTAATGGCAACCACATCAGTCCTTCTCTGTTCAGGCCTTGCAGCTGTAATAAGTAGCACTTACAGTGTCAAAAAACCATTAAACGACGCCGTTTATGGGGCACATGGAGAATTCATGGTGGCACTAAAATATGTGACAGTTCTACTCATTTTCCTATTCTCATTCATTTGTCACACTTTATCTATAAGGTTCATAAACCAAGTGAATTTCCTCATCAATTGCCCAGCAGACAATTTGGGAATAGTGAGTCCAGAATATGTCTCAGAGTTATTAGAAAAGGGGTTTTTTCTTAACACTGTAGGTAATAGGTTGTTTTATGCTGCTTTGCCTCTCTTGCTTTGGATTTTTGGGCCTGTCTTAGTCTTCTTGTGTTTTATTACTATAGTTCCTATGTTTTATAATCTTGACTTTGTGTTTTGTAACGCAAAGGGTAAAATGGACCCTCCTCAGAATGGTAATGGTACTGAATTTGTATCTGTGTGAGAAAAGATATACCTAACTGATGGACTATATATTATCAATATCATTGTTGTAATTAATCAGTTTGATTTAGTTTGAACTTCGTCCAATCTATATTAATTCTGCATTTAATATAGTACTATAAATATTTACTAAACAGCAACAACACACCCAATGAAATTTCACAAGTGCGGTCTTGGGAAGGCAGTGTGTACACAGATCTTACATCTACCTTGAGACTATTTCCGATAAACCATCGGCTCAAGAACTATAAATATTTACTACCTATAACTATAATTAGTGTTTGTCTTATTGCTAGAAAACTTCAATTGCAAGAATCAACTTTATTTTGGAGTTACTTTATGAATTATTTCATTTAGCACCCTTAACATTTTGTTCTTGAGAAACAACACTACCCCTTTTACCTTTTGATGGGAAAGAGAACCATGCTTAACCTTAATGAATTAAGGTTAAATATCTAAAATATATTATCGTCTTTAACCAAAAATAACAATACCGATGACTATATAAGTTAGAAAATTCAATTATAACTAATAAAACAAGCGGAAAGCGACTCCGCTTCGAGGGTGATTTGCACAAATATTTTTTTACCTGCTTACCCCAGGGGCGGAACTTTAGCTTTAACAAGTGTTATACCTCGTTTGCCACATGAATAATACTTTTAACTTCTAATATTAAAGGTTTGGTCACGAAACAAGTGGGAAATCAATACCATCTATTTTTAAAGACATTGGGTATAATTTCCAGTGGCTTCTATATATACAAACCAGCTTGTTGCGTAATATTGGCCTATTTTCTCGATCTACGTTTTGCTATTCTCGTTATTAGTTGGGTCCAGTTACAGAAGCCTTTGGACAACAAGAATATTGGCCCCAAATCAGTAATCACAAAGCAGCTTTCAATCTTGAAGCAAATCAACTCCCAAGAAAAATAAAAAGGAATTGCTTCTTGTGATTTTGATTAATGCAATTTATTTTAAAAAGGAATAAATCAAACCGAACAAGTAAAAAATCTAAAGATTTACTTTGATTGATCTGCTAATTAAAAACCGAAAAATGCCATTTGTTGGACCTTTGCAAGGATCTTGAAGATGGAATAATGGATTTTTTGAAGTTTGAACCGCACATGTTATGTTAATTGATAGGACAAGGATGGTCTATACAAAAAAAATATCCATGTGCAATGGCATCAATTTTTGTACCTCATGTCCCTTTTCCTTTCGTCAAAGTTGATGTTACTCCTACTAATTTTGATTGTGTTCCGATTAGTTTTCGTGCACATTTAATAATTTATTGTATATATATTATTTTTTTATCAGTATAAAAATCAAACTCGTTAATGTTTGAACTTTGAATAAATATAAATAATCATATAGCTCCATTTATGCTAAAAATTGAACATTAATCCATAATATTATTACCTTAATTCTTTAAATTCTTTTTCTATTTGTCTAAACCTCTCTTTGTCGACTAGATTCAATGAATTTTTAATATGTTTAACAATAGTCTTTAAAGTACATTTATGGATAAGATTTTCAAGAATCTATTGAGCGACTTGTTTTCAGTTCAAGATTTTTCCATGAAATTTAACTTCCCCAATATCACCGCATTAAACTTTGATAAAAAATTGCGGAAAACGAGTGAATTAAGAAAACTGTCCAGGTTCAATGAACCTAGGCTTTTCCTTTTTTTTCTTTTTTTTTTCTATTAATATTTTCTTTCCTTTTCTTAATTTTATTGAATGGTAGTACTAAGTTGTAAACAACGTTTGTGGACTCAAAAAGGCATTCATTTGTACTGCTCTTTCATATCATGCAAAAATGCCATTAACATACATACATATACATATATACAAGTTTGTTGACTCACTCAAATGTCAAAGATTTGAAGAGATGGAAAATATAATAAAATAGTACTTGGGAAATACTATTAAAATACTGTTGTCACGTACAAGGCATGACATTGATTTTGATAGAGTTAGGTGAAATTGGTTTCTTTTGGCATGATCTTTGAATACAGGAACTTGTTCGAGTTAGGTGAAATTGGATTTTGCTATACTAACATAATTTTTAACAAAATGCATTTTACTGGCGTTGATCTTATACGAGCATATTGCAACGACATGGCATGAAAATATGACATATAATGTGATTTATTCTGGTATATTTACTAAAACTCTAATTGCATAAACAAGATCTTTTATAACCCTTAAGGAAATGAAACTGGAATTAAATTATGCCTATTGTAACATTTTATTGACATAAATAGAACCATTTGTACTTTGTATAGGTACAACTAGGGACAGAGTTAAATGGGCGGATTTCGCCCGAAAATTATACCGTGCATATAATGTAAATAAAATTCATGTAAAGATATTAAATGTTAAGCCCCATTATCTTTTTGCATGTTTAATTTTTTCATTTTTTGAATTCCCGATAAAAATTCTACCATTGGTGCAACTAGTTTTGTTTCTTCAATAGTGCTATAGCACCATCTTCTACGCGTATTTCATTCATCTTTATTAAAAAATAATTCAGTAAGAATATTCAAAAGTCAATAAGGATTTTCTCCCATTTTTTTATTTGTGGAAAGCATATTTCATGACACATACATTATACACGCTCATAGATTCGTACATACATATACAGAAAGGTATAATACATAATTTCTATAAATACTTTATTCTCCTCCTTCTCCCTAAACGACACACAAAGAGTGATAGATACAGAAAGAGAGAGAGAATACCCACATTGCTCTCTCTATTTGAACAAATTGTGTACAAGAGAGTCAACATTTCATTTGAAAGGCATTGCCTTTTATTGATTTGAACATAATAAGATTTATTGGTTAGTATTTTATTTGATTTCCATTTTTCCCCCTTTTTCCTTATTTAGATTTTTCTCTTTTCTGGGTGTTCATCACATTTTGCAATTTTATGCATCCCCTTAAGTTTCCTACGATTTTCACAGTTTTTTCTCTGTTTATCCGTCGGAAGGTGCATAATCATGTTGTACATTGAGCTGCAACACTTGTACTATCCTCTTGTTTTGACCATCTTTTGCGAGTGAGTATAAGCTGATTTGACCTTTTCTGATACCTCGCAATGTGACAACTAGAAAACCCAGTTGGTCTTTTCTTTTATGACCTATTTTATTTTATTCTAACTCTATTTTTTTCCCACCATTTTCAGAAATTAATGGTTGTCTGTATTCCTTTTCGCCTGACGGAGAAAAATAATTGGCGGATAATAAGAAAAATAATAAATTAATTTATGTTATGGTTAATAGTGCAGGTATTAAATTGAGGAAGATTCACAATCATGGTATTTTGGATTTTTGGGTATGGTTCATTGGTATGGAACCCTGGATTTGATTATGATGAGAAATTTATTGGTTACATAAAGGATTACAGGCGTGTGTTTGATCTTGGTACGTTATTTTCTTATTGTTGATTTCTATTTGTCGAAGTGTGAAATACTAAAATTTCATGATTTTTGTTGAATATATTATCAGCTTGCATTGATCATAGAGGTACACCTGAACACCCTGCAAGAACTTGCACTTTGGATGAAAGCAAAGGATCCATTTGCGTAAGTTGATATTAGCATCCATTTACTACCTTTCTGAACTTCTTCTCTGAAGAGTAAGTTTTAGACATATCGATTTGCATATTCTAAGGTAATCATAAGTAAATCTTTATGACAATCATTAATATATATATAATATGTAAAACCTGATAACAGTGGTAACTAAAACTATACTAAAGGGCAGCCCGATGTACTAAGCTCCCGCTATGCGCGGAGTCCGGGAAAGGATCGGACCACAAGGGTCTATTGTACGCACTCTTACTCTGCATTTCTGCAAGATGCTGTTTCCACGGCTCGAACTGATGACCTCCTGGTCACTTGCCAAGGCTCCCCTTCGTAAAACTATACTGCGGTGTAAAAATTCTTTTTTTTTTAAAATTAGTGGTTGTGTAAAAGAATCGTTACACTTTATATTAACTTAAACCTTTTCCATATGTAGCCTAACATGTTGAAATTGATCTCACAAGTAAACTGAAGTTTTATATTAATTCATAGCCAATCAATTCAACTTATTTGTGGATTTTCTTTCAGTGGGGTGCTGCTTATTGTGTGCGAGGAGGACCTGAAAAAGAAAAGAAGGCAATGGAGGTACATTGACTCTGAGCTTTAATTTTTTTTTTTTTTTTACATACCCTCTCAACAGCGAATTTATTTTTCAGAACATATATTGTTTGGAAGTGATCCTGATAGTTTCTTGTTTGGTTTACAGTATTTAGAAAGAAGGGAGTGCGAGTATGATAGCAAGACTTTGGTGGACTTCTTCACTGTAAGTCGATAATCCTTTGATATTTTGTTTGATATCTGGTCTCATGTTAGTAAAGCTCTTAAAATACTGTATGTTATAACTTGAAATTCTGAACTTGTTATCCTGTTATAAAAGGGCACAGAACACATGTGACTTAAGTTAACATTGAATTGCATGTTTGGCTTAGTTGAAACATATTTGTTCTTTCTATTTCAGGAAGAAAACTCCTTACATCCAGCCTTAACTGGAGTGATAGTGTAAGTTCTTTGGCTGTTGTCCTTTTATATCTTTCTTTCCTATCTAAGCACTATCTAATAAATCACTATGAAATGCAAATCAAAGAACACAATAGATGGTAGAGAATTAGTATATATGGTCATTGACTTGATTCAAATACTTATTTCAGGTTTACATCCACTCCTGACAAAGTAAATAATAAATACTATCTTGGTCCTGCTCCACTGGAAGAGATGGCTAGGTGAGATTTATCCTTCTGTTATCTGCTCCTTCCTTCAAATATTTTCTGAGATAAATCACTTTTAATACATCCTAATTTTACATATTGCAGGCAAATTGCAACTGCCTCTGGACCATGTGGAAATAACAGGGAGTATATATTCAAAATGGAGAAGGCTTTGTATGATATTGGCCATGAAGATGATTACATCATTGAGCTGGCTAATGAAGTGCGAAAAGTTCTTGGAATTGTGGGATCTTTCCCAAAGGAGAAGAAGTTACTTGGTCCTTCCCAAATTCCACTCAGATCTCACATTTCACCTGTGAAAATCCGGCCCTTGCCAGAAGCTATAGCTGCTGCTGCTGCAGACTCCTGACGAAGGAAATGATCCATTGTTCTTTAGGACGATGAAGTTTTCCTTTTCTGACCTGACTAATCTAGTTAACTGCTAGAGTTATGTCTTCCACAAAATGTTACATATCCAGTGATCTGTTTTTTAAAGTGTCCCCTGTGTTTTCTCTTTTCCTTTAAATTTAGATTAGGAAGCTAGAAAGTGGGGTAGGATAACGAGTTGAGTTGACATTCTAACCAGCCAGACGAATTTGTGGCTAGCGTGAACATGGATCTTGAGTTATTTTGAGCCCGATATTATGAAATTTGATTAGTAGCTTACATGTTGTGAGTACATGATCAATTCAAGAACTAAGATGGGCCATTTCTTTCCCTTATGCAGGTTGACAATGATCCCTTTCTTTCTTTAAATTATTAAAACATATTAAATTCGTAATTAGTTACAATGTTTACCGCCTGCTGCAATGAGCTCTTGAAGACGTCTAAAGGTTAGATACTCTAGATATTGTTTGATCATATTCATGCCGTGCTTTTGCGGCGTTCTTCTTCTTCAGGTTGTGTAGTTGTGGCTATCTGGCGGAATAATGGTCGGGAAGTGAGAGGGAGGAAGGCAAAAACTTAAATGTGCAGAAGCGTAACATGAGTACACCACAACAGTACTCAGTAAGTATCAAGTCTAACCTCGATAGAGTAGTGACGAGGCTAGGTCATGACACCTACTAGGACAAGATAAACCGACAAAGTATAATAAAGACCAATAACGGAAAACGAGAAAATGAATGATAACAAAGCAGTACAGTATAATGTAGGCTAATGACAGAATTTAAGGCAAGGAAGGCATCGAGAAGTGAACTCGTGATGAGAACAATAAGTAATCAAATACGGACAAATACAAGACAATAAAGAAAATAACAAGAAATGTTCAACCAACAAAACCTTTTTAACATGAAATGTACAACAAGAATCACTCAAATGTAATTATGAAACACTTGATTTGCATGTCAGCCTGAGTGGTTCACTGGACATGCCTTTGTCAAGCATAGGCGTATCTGGTTAGCCGTTAAGATGTAATGACTAACTGACAAGTTTGATTGGCTATCATGTAATAACTAGAAAAATTTACCTTAGTAAGAAATTGTGAATTTCGGGCAAAGATATGAAATTTCTTATCTGTCAGCAACGTTGTAGTCGTGAGTTTCATCTCTAACTTTACCTTCAGCTGAATCAACCTGCAAAAACAATTACATATGTTAAATGAGAAATTAAATTCTAGTTGTTGCCAAAAAGAAGAGGCAAGTTCTGTTTAATACGTGTTTACCCAAAAAACGGATAGAGTTGAATTTATACATAGTTCTAAGGATACGTGGTACAACTTGGTACAAATCGGAAAGTAAGTAGAAATATATCGAATATTGACTTGTAAAGAATGAAATACAAACCAATATTGAATCGGGAAGCGATTTTATGAACTAGCAAGATGAATCAATGTATAAAGCTCACAAGAGGATAGTCTCTACTGTATTTATCTGAATATAAGAGTGTTTGTATGCCTGAATGTGTCCTCCTTACAGAAATAATAGTCATCCCTCTTATAGTGGAGGGATCCTACTTTGGATATAATTTTAAAAAAAATAGTGGGGAACCTATAATAGAATAGCTTTTCCCAAATTTCCGCAGAGATTCTCTCTCCTGAGTGCGTTTGTAACGGCTCTTGTCTCATGGCTCGATCTTGATCGGACTTGGTATTGGTTGATTCCCAGATTTAGAGCCCGATATTGACTCGGGCTCGATATTGACTTGGGGCCCGGTATTGACTCGAGCTCGGTACGGGTCGGTCTCTGGCTCTAAAGCTCGATAACGCCGCTTCGCATCATAGTTCGATTTTGATTCGAGCTCGGTGATGACTTCGAGTTCGGTATTTGATCGGTCTCAGAAATTTGAGCTCGGTATACTGGCTTCGGATCTCATACCTGATATTACGAGGATGACCCTCGGTCCATCATGTTCCAATCTTGACTAATCATATGAAGGTCGAAACCGGTTTTGACTGTATACAGATAGTCCCCTCATTTCTCGGGAAGAATGTGGCGAGAAACGACATGATTTTCTAGTGGTATGACTCGATACAAACTGACGTTTGCATCGAGTCATACTACTGGAAAGTTTGCATCGAGCCCGACCGTGACGTACGTGATAGCTGTCCCGTCGTTTTAGTTTACCAAGGCATTAAATGCGTGTCAGGCGATGGTCGGCCATTGTCGACACTGAACCGTCATTTCCAACCCTATAAATAGCCCCTTTTTTTTTAATCATTTTTTACTTTTACATCTCCAAATTCTCTAAGTTCCCTTTCGCATCTTCTGAGTTCTTCATCTGTAAATTTGTATTATTTACTGCAAAATCCCTCTTTAGAACACCAAACTTTGTCATCTTCCTCTATCCTCAATCTTCAAATCCTAATGGCAAAAATGTTAAAAACCGTTCCTCAAAAAGAAAAAGTTTCTTCTTCGCGGCCCGCCGGCGACAAAATACCGGTGGAGCCACGACCTGAGGAGTGTGTTCCCGGGGGGTGTGTTCTTACCTCTGATTTTAAGATCGACAAAGCTTCGCCGGTCCCTGGTTGATGTGAGCCAGTATCGAGATATATGTGCTCGATAACCGAGGGCCATCTTAAGCAATTAAGGAAAGATTGCAACTGGGAGGACATAGAAGTGATAATCCCGACTCCCGAAGAAGATATTACTACCCATGTGAAAGGGTTTTTAAGTGTGTATACTTACCCTTTCACGTTGGGCCCTCTCGACCCTGTTGTCATCGATTTTTGCCGCCAATATCAAGTAACCCTAGGCCAAATCCATCCTTCTTTTTGGCGGATCGTTATTTTGATTCGCTTCTTCGTGAACAAAGTCGAGGGGATGCCTTTCACCCTTGACCACCTCATTAGATTGTACAGCCCATGCCTCTATCGAGGTGGGTTAATAAAACTCCATTGCCGGGCTACCAAAGTGATGTTCTCGAGCATAGACGAGGACAAAGACCGGAGCTGGATAGGCAGGTTCATTCGAGTGAGGACTTCGGACCTAATCCTGGTCGAGAAGATGTCATTTCCCGAAGAATGGAACATGAAGCGTAAGTATAATTCTACTGTTAGCTCTTATTGTCTTGCTCATTCGTTTCTTTCTCACCGATATCTTTTTTGTGATGCAACGGTTGATTGGATGCCCGGTGCAGTTCTTGACCTTAAGAGCTAGGTACGGGACCTGGCTTCGACCTCTGCATATGCCGAGCGCTCGTGGTACGATTTATCGAAAGGCCGATGGGAGGCCAAAAACCATGGTAAGACTCTTTCCCATGTCTTTGATGGTTCGAACAAAATGTTATTCTTATACTTATAATCAATCTTTTTATGTGTAGGCTTGGGCAAAGATGCGGTTATGAGGCCCCCGTATGGCGAGGAAAAGACTTTGGCCCCGATTCCAAAATCGGCAAAGGACAACAAAAGAAAAAGGGCCTCTACCTCCGAGGATATAATACTTAAGACGAAGACGGCTTGTAAGCCGAGGAAAAATATCATCCCTCTGACCGAAGAATCAGTTCGGCGCCTAAGGGGTGAAGACGAAGAAGAAGATGATGACTCCGGGCTGATGTCCCGAGTGAAAAAGAGCGCTGAGGCTCCAAAGTCTACTGAATCGATGATGGCCGTAAAGATTCAATTTTGTAATGGGGGAGTCTCGGCAAGAGAACTGGTCGAAGTCCCCGAGTCATCGAGGATCGAGGCTACCTCCCACCATAATGAGCCAATGGTAGGTACAGCTGTGGAGGCAGGTCTCAAGGCCCCTCGAGATGGAGAGAACGCCCTAAGTGATTCACTTGGGGCAATAGAAATTGGAGGTTCCTCGCTGCTCCCCTCGTTTTTCTAGGAAATGATTCGAGAGGCTCGGGCCTTGAAGACCCTTTCTGTCGAAGGAGGCCACAGAAGGGAGGATCCCTTTCATGATTATTTTACTGGGGTCGAAGATGCTACCCGCATGAGCGATTTGGAAGTCTCGAGGAAGGACTCGGGTGAGGCATCGGGCCTTTTTAACGAAGTACAGCGAGCTTTGAATCGGGTAAGCCTTAACTCTCTTGGTTAGTATTATCTCTGTGTTTGTTTTCATCTTCTAACTTTTTTTTTTCTGAGTAGGCCTCAGTGCTTCATCGAGAAGAATGTTCTCGGTCCCGAGCTGAGCTTAGTCGGTACGAGGCCGACCTCCGAAGGCTCACGGAAGAGAGAAATGCCCTTAGACTTCGTTGTGAGCAAAGAGAAGAGGAGATCAAGGACCTCCGAGCCGAGTTGACCAAGGCTCACCAAGATCAGACCTATCTGATCGAGCAGGTAATGAAAATCTTAAAAACTCATGGGCTCGATTCAGGATCAGAGGCTAATATTTCGATCTCACAGCTGCAGCAGAAGCTCGAGATGATCGAACAGCTTCGTGAGGAGGTTGATATAATAAAGGCGGAGACTTTGGGGTGGAAAGAAAGCATGGATCGCCTTGCTGCAGATAAAGAGGTTGTTCGAGCCCAATTATCTTTGGCCGAAAGTCAACTTCAAGGCATGAAGGAGAGGAGCTCGGTTCAAGCAAGAAAAATAGAGGAGCTTGAAGCTCGGTTGACTTTCGAACTTGCCAAGGCCAAATCTGAAGCTGAAAAGGCAAAGGCCGAGGCGGATGCATTCGTGGCTGTCTATCAGGCCGATGCCGAAACTGCTCAAGTACAAGCGAGAAAGGCATCTGAGACCTCTCAAACTCGAGCATACTGGGTTGTTGAACTCGCCAAATGCCAATCTCGGAGGGAGACCCTCGAGGAAATCCATGCTCGAGGTTTCGATCTCACCGAAGAGATAAAAAAGGCTAAAGAACTTGAAGCCGAAGTTGGAGCCTTGGCTTCCGATGATGATGATGATGATGAGAGCAAGAGCAGGTCTGAGAGTGGGGAGGAGCTCGATGGAGAAGAGGCTTCTCCCGGAGATAATCAGGAACCTTAGGGTTTTTTGTTTTTGATCTTTTTTTTGTGTAGAGTCCTGATCGGACCTTGTAAATACTCATATATATAAAGATCCTTTCCTTTCCCGATTTGTCTTTGTTTCATATTCTTCCTTGTGAAAACTTTGTTTCAGTCATGCCTTATGAAAAGTTTGTTTCAGTCATGCCTTTAGGCAATTTGATCGAAGCCGGATCTTGAAGTCTTTATAACTGAGTGAGTGATTGCTCGAACTTGAAGTAACGTAGCCCGTAGGATTTTAATAGTCGAGTGAGTGATTGCTTGAACTCGAAATAAGATTAGCCTTTAGGCTTAATGGTCGAGTGAGTGCTTGCTCGAACTCGAAGTAATGTAG